CTCGCCCTGGCCGGTTTGGCTCAGCGGTTAGAGCGTCGGCCTGCGGTCCCGAGAGACCCGGGTTCGGTTCCCACTAAGGGCATGAACCTTGGTTGCAGTTTGTCCCCGGCCCTGGTTGGTCGTGCGGGTGGCAGCCACTCGATGTGTCCCTTTCACATCGATGTTTCCCTCTCTCTCTTCCTCTCTCTCCCTCCCACTCTATCTGAACAAAAAATGTCCTCGGGTGAGGATAAAAAAAAAAAAAAAACCCTCAATTTCTGATCGTCAAAAATATTTCTTCTTGAGTGTATAAATGCATGATGCTTGACTGTCAAAATGCTCCCTGAGAAATGAGTCTTTGAAAATAATTTAAAAAATTTAAAGGTGTCCTTGGGATGATGAAAATGTTCTGAAACTGGGTCTGGGGTCTGGGTGCAGAGCTATATAGTTACTGGGGACCAGTGAGCTGTCTGTGCAACAGGTGCACTTCGCCGTATGCGGTCAGAAGCGGCTCTCACTTGGCACTCATTCTTGTTTTTCTTAAAATCCTCACAGGAGAATATTTTCCCATTGATTTTCAGATAGAGTGGGCAGGGGAGAGAGAGAAACATCAATGTGAGAGAGACACATCGATTTGTTGCCTCTCGAACAACCCCAACCCGGGCCGGGGACTGAACTGCAACCGAGGTACGTGCCCTTGACCGGAATCGAACTTGCAACTCTTTGGTCGGCTGGCTGACGCTCTGATGGATGAGCCGAACCCGCCAGGGCTGCATTCATTCTTTTTTTTTTTTATCCTCACCAGAGGACATTATATATATATATACATATATATATATATATATATGTATATATATAGTTCAGATAGAATGGGAGGGGGGGAGAGAGAGAGAGAAACATCGACGTGAAAGGGACACATCGAGTGGCTGCCACCCGCACGATCCAACCAGGGCCGGGGACAAACTGCAACCGAGGTATGTGCCCTTAGCAGGAACCGCACCCAGGTCTCTCGGGACCGCAGGCCGACGCTCTAACCGCTGAGCCAAACCGGCCAGGGCTGCATTCATTCTTAATAGGTGAGTATCCCGGGTTTGGGATTCGAGACTGACAGGCACTTTCATTCATTCCCTGGCGGGTGTGGCTCCGCCCACCCGGGGCCCATTGTTACAGCTGACCACCACTCCCTCCTGCTTGTCTGTCCCCCCCCTCCAACCCAACCCCCACCTGCTAAGATGTTCTGTTTTGAATTTAGTGCTTTGAAATTTCTTTACCATGTGTCTGGGTGTTGAGCTCTTTGCAAGTGTTCTTTGAGAGTTGTGCTTCTTCAATCTGAGGATTCGTGTCTTTCATTAATTATGGAAACTTCGGAATCATTTCCCCAACTATTGCGGCACCCCCATTCCTGGCAGTCTCTCCGCAGCTCCCACCAGGCAGACCTTAGACCCCCCTGGCCCTCCCAGCGTTTCTTTCCTTATCCCCATGTAACGGGCCATGTTTTTCTATGTCCTTATTGTTTAGTCTCCGTCCAACGGTTCTGACGTCTGTGTCTTTGCAGGCTGGAACCTGCCCACTCAGTGCTCCTGGTTCCTCGTTTCCTCCTGTTTTCTGCAGACTCACGACCAGCGTCCTTCATCTCCGGGATCCTCAGGGGCCCGGGAGGGCGGTGCGTTCCCCCAACGGCACGTGTGTTTGCTCCGGTCTGCTTCCTGCAGGAAGGCTTCCTTCCTTTCAGTCACGTTCGCACCAACATGTGTTTGGACCCGGACGACGGGAAGAAATCAGGCCCCAGATCCGCAGAAAGACTGGCTCCATATCATTATGAATTTTTAGGAATATTTTCTTCTCCTTCTAATGATGATCAAGACCAAGGGGATAAAAGTCATCATTATCTCCCTGATAACCTTCCCACAATCTGTGTGTGAGTGTGTGTGTGTGACTGTGTGTGGGTCCATGGTCTGACCCCTCGGCTCTGTCCCTGTCCCATCTTTCATGATCAAACCAGTGCAGCCGGAGGACAGACAGAGACGCGCACGCCGAGGTCTCCAGACAGAGCAGCCGGGGAAGACGCTCCGGCGCGGTTCCGAGTTTCTTCCACTGACTGACGCTCGCTGGACGCCCCTCTCGCCGACTAGCCCCTTACCTGTGTCTGCAGAGGACAGGGTCCCGTTTGGAGCATGTTTCCCTGAAGCAACAGACAACAAGGGACACCCACTCGGGTTTCCTTAAAACTTGAACTGGGGCATCTTTTGGTCACAAACTAGAGCTGTTTGATTACATAAAGGACCTTCATGACCTCACTCCAACTTTGGAAGGAAACCTGAGGCTGCGTTAGGGACGTACCGAGAGCCCTGGCGAGCTCCGATGACCCTGGTCTCACTTGGGGTACGCTCTTCTTTCTCCTAATAAAAATGATGCTTTCTAAGGTTGCGGTATTTCTGCCCCTGCTCCGTCCCTGTCTGAGGCAGGTTGGTCTGAGCCCCCAACTCCCACTCTCCCCCCACCTGACCCACCCTTCAGGCCTGAGGGTGCGGAAAGGGCGTGTCCCGCCTTTGCTGGTCCCAGCACGCTCCAGTCCCCGGTGCTGTCTGTACACCGGCCCGTCATCCTTCATGAGTCACCCTTTGAGCACGCCATCTGTCCCCTGCCCCTGCCGGGAGGGTGGCTCCAGGAACCCCGAGTTCCGCCTCAATAGCAGAAGGCTCTCCTCCTCGGGGTCCCCACACACAGCATGCTGAGTGTCCATTCGCCCCAAAGGCTCTTCTCCATGAGGTCTTGGGAGGCATGTTGCAGTAGGTTCGAGTGATTTCATTTGTAAGTAACGGCGGAGAGAAGATGTCCACTGTGGCGGCTCCTCCGGCGGCTGACTGCTGTCTGCGAGAACAGGACGCAGGGAGGGTCATCACCGGTGCCGGGAGGCTGGTCCGCCCAGATCACGCCGCAGCCGGAAGGGGGCGAGTCGCCCTGATGTGCCCTCCCAGCTGGGGCAGGTACTAGTTACTGCAGTGCCCGGTGCACCCCGGAGAGAGCATTTCCAACATGAAGATGATGTCTAGCGTTTGGCAGAAGGCAAGTGGCGGTGAGCCATGACTCGACCCCCTCGTTTCCGGAGCACCGATGGGTGCGCGCTGTTTGCAGATCGTCACTTCCTCTGGGCAGCTGAGGAAGCGTCCACCTCTCCAGCTCTCCTGACACGGTCGTGCGTGGTGTGACTGCTGCCGAGGGCTGGCCACCGGGCGCCCGCTGGCCTCTCGACAAGTGTGCCCGGAGAGCGGACAGTCAAGCAGGCGGCAGAGGCCAGCAGTGTGGGTTCCCGCGTGGCGCCCGGTCCTTTCGGGACCATGCTCACGAGGGGCTGTCCCTGGCCGGTCCATGCAGCCTGCGGGCTGTGGGGAAGCCAGTGAGGTCCTTGCCGGTGCCCACATCTGGGGTCCCCTGGGCCCAGAGTGCCGCAGAGCTGCTTTGCCAGATGAGGTCCCGGCAGGGGGTCGGGGGCCGGTCGGGCACCCTGCTGCCCACACATCTGCCAGGCCAGCGTGTTGACCCGCAGAGCCGGGTTCAAGACACAGTCTCAGTTTCCAGCCGCTGACTGAGGACTGGTGTGTCAACATTCTGCCTGTCACCGGGCAATCAAGCCCGTGTTGACTGACGGCCTCGCCCCCGGAGGAAAGTCCTGCCCGGTCAGCGCTCTGCTTTGTCCAGGCGCGGCCCACTGGCTCCGGGCAGGGCGGCCTCTCTCCGAGCCAGGCCGAGGCTGACCGGCACCCACCAGCTGGGCGAGGCGGGGACCCAGCCGCAGCCGCTCTCTGCCCGGTAGATGTGCTAATATACACGGACACTCTGCGGGGCTGTCCCGGGGCTCAGGGAGATACAGGCAGCGTCTCTATTAAAGAGCAGATGCTCAATGAGTGTTTACTTGTTACCGCGGCATTTGTTCTATTAGTAATAAAACCGCTCGACACGCTGCGTCCCCCCCGACCCGGCTGTCCCCCTGGGTGGCCGCAGTGACTGCACCTGTTCTCCGCCTCGACTGGAAAGCCTGGGGCCCTGCTCCTGGTGTCTCATCGCTAAGCCTCCGCCTTGCACTCAAGTCCTTGTCTCGGAGACGCTGTCTTTTTTCCCACGGGAGTCCCCTCCTTGGTCCGGGCCTCCCTCAGCTCTGTAGGTGAGTCTGTCCCCTGCCCTCCATCCGCAGGGCACCTCCCGCCTCTGCGTCTCACCTGCCGCCTGGGGGCTGCGTGACCGGGTCCCTGCTTCTCCTCCGGCCTCCGGCACTCGGGGCCCCAGAGCCGCTGCCCCACCCCGTCAGCCAGGGGAGGTCTTCGCTCAGGCACCCAGGGCCCCACTGCCGGCTTTGAGCTGAAGGTGTGTCTCCAAGGCCAGCAGTGTGGCCCCGGGAAGGAACATTTCCCTGCGAACCTCTGGGGCACAGCAGCTTAGGATGGGGAGGGGACCACCCTGCCAGCCACCCCCAGAGCCCATTGTCACTGCGGGAGAACGGGACCCAGGTGCCTGGCGATCCACATGCTAACTGATGCCAAGGTCAAAACAGGCCGTGTGGACTGTCTCCTGTTTCTGCCCCACCAACGAATCCGCAGAAGGAAGGAGGCTTTGAAATGGCACGCGGAGAATTTGCAAACTCCTTGGGCTGCGTGAACTAAGGTTCCTCTCATTGCTAGGCCCCCGCCTTGATTTCTGCCTCAGCCCAGCCCTGCCCAGCCCCCCAGTCCTGGCCGCTGGGTCCCCTGCCCATGCTGCTCCGATTCTTGCCGCTGCCGGGACCCGCCAGCCAGTCCTGTCCCAGCAGAGCAGGGGCCCAGGCTGCGGCTCAGAGGGCCAGCTTGGTCCCCCTCCCCGGGACCGGACCCGGTGCTGGTCTCTGGCCTGGCTCCTCAGTACCACACTTTCCCTTTTATCGCCAGTTAGTAACTGAAGCGCGGTCTCTTCCCCTGGCGGAAACGTCAGCTCATTTCCTGTCCCATCCCTGACTCACAGTATTTACATCTTCGTGGGGACCCAGGGGACTTTCCAGGGTGAAATGGTAACGCTTTTTTAAGATGGAAACGAGTGTGGTGAAACCCTGAAAGGGGGTTCGGGAAAGGAGGAGACCGTCCTGGTGGGCGGCTCTGGACCAGGGCTTGTGCACGAGTCCTCAGGTGTGTGAGGGGCAGGAGGGGACAAACGCTGGGGAGGGGGCATGTGTTGCCACCTACCTGGCACTGGTCTATCGATAGTTCACGCCACTTGTTTCTAATTTACAGGGTAAACGATGGAGAAAATGAGTGAAATCAGACCAAGGGAAGTAGCCCCGTCACCCAAGGACAAGCACCGTGGAGGTTTCGCTGTTTTCTTCCGCTCCTTCCTCGCGGGGGTGAAACGCTGCAGTGAGCCCAAACGTCTCCTTTGTGGGGATGTGTTTGAGGGGGTAATGTTGTTTGGAAAAAGCAGTAACTGTCTGCTATTGTGGGAGAATGACATGCATCAGCTGGGTGACACCATCGAACAGGCTTGCTGGTCTTCAGAGGGTGGACGTACAAGCCGGGCGTGAGGGGAACCTGGCAGAGCGGGGTGACGCCGGCAGGTGCGCGGGTGCTCCATGGGAACAGCTGAGCAAGTAGCACACCAGGTAAACACTTCCTCTTCCCACTCTGATGTCAAGTTCCCCTTTGCCACCTTTCCCCAGACTTGGGGGTTTCGAGTGGCACAGGTGTTTTCTTTACATAATTCTGTATTCTTTTAAAAAAAATATGATTTTTTATTGATTGTCGAGAGAGAGGAAGGGAGAAAGAGAGGGAGATAGAAACACTGATGAGAGGAAACATCAACATTTATTGACTGCCTCCTGCACACCTCCTGCTGGGGATCAAACCCAAAACCCAGGCCTGTGTCCTGACCAGAAATCGAACCAGTGACCCCTTGGTGCATGGGACGATGCTCAATCCACTGAGCCACACTGGCTGGGCTTCGTGTTCTTTTTTGTAAAGGGGACACCAAACTGCGTCAGCTCTACCTCTGTGGAGAAGGAGACAGAACTGCCTGGTGTGAGTGGCTCTGCCGTCCCTGGGCATGAGGGTGGGACAGCAGAGTAACCTCTGCTCCGAATCCCACAGGAGCCAGAGCACCCAGGAGCCCGTGAACGTGTCCCCTGGGTCAGCCTCTGGGCAAAGGGCCGGTGGAGGAGGGCGGAGTATGGATCTGAAGCAGAGAGCCATCAGGCTCGGCCCCTGTACATCTTCCACCTAAAGGTAGCACTGGTGACGTCAGGTCCATGTATGTTTACAGTTCTCTGCAGAAAAGACCCAGACATCGAGAAGCCAAGAACAACAAGCCAGAAAACATATTCCCGGGAGTCACGGTCACGGAGACGGCTGGACTAGAAAATGATCGGTTGTTTGGCACAGAATCACAAGTTCAATCAACGGAGGCTCAGATAGAGGAGCATCTGGTGAAAATCTGAGGCAGGAAGGCAAGTCCTCGTCCACTGCACATGGCTGGAATGCTTTCTGTGGCCAGCCCATGACACACGGGTGGTCAGAGCCCCGAGGGACCGGTTCTGTACTGTGGGAGCCCTCAGAAAGCCGTGTTCAGAGCAGTTTTGAACTGGATGACACTGGGTTTGTGCAGTGAGGCAGTTTGTTTCATAAGCATCTGATACAGTAACGGGAGGGGGAAGTGTCTCAAAAAAACTCTGACTTCAGAACGTGTTTTCTTTGGTGTTATTTTAATTATTTCATCTCCACTCATTATTCCAATCATTTTGGGAAATTTGTCCTGTCTTGTTACTCCATTTGCACAGGGCTGTGTTCCCACCTTTGTCTGCCCCACTGCTGAGTAGGGGCCAGGACAGAGGCTCACAGGTGTTTTCATTGCTGAGGGGCAGGACAGTGTCCTAAGGAGCTATGGTGACCCACAGCTGGAAGTCCGGGGTGGACTTAATCTTCTGTGGAACTTAATCTCAAGATGGAAAGTGTAGCTTGAAAAAGCTCCCAGGTGATTCTGATACCTGCCCCCGTCCCTTCCTCCATTCTGGGAAAGCAGGTGAGTCAGACACGTTCTCCCGCCCTTGAAGGGTTATTAATCCCTTGCATGTTTTGCATACCTAGCTTGAAGCATGATCGAGGTTTGCACCCACAGATTTTAACCAAACCAAGGTTTGGCCTGCCACCAGGAGAGCCAAACTTGCGAGACAGGTGCTGGTGACAAAGGAAATACATTTATTCACGTGCTGATCGCCTGAGAAGATGGGGCCTCTGGTTCATAGCCCATCTCAGCATCTCAGTGCAGGCAGAGGTTTTCATACGGAGGGAGAGGGGAAGCAGGACCAAGAAATCAAGCAGAGGGGTGAGAAGTTCTCTACACGCAGACCAGCACAGTGCATCCTGGTAGGGATGTCGAAGCCGGTCATGTGATGGTCTGGTATACATCATCCTGGTTTCGTCATCCTGATTTCCGTCATCCTGGTTTTATGGTTGAACATCAGCAATTCTCCCAGAGCTGGGATGACTGAAGGTCAGAGTCTGCATCTTCTATTGCTGGTTCCTAGGATCCTTACACAAACATGCTGTTTCTCTGCAAGCTACATATTAGTCAGAGGCAGCATTTACAGAAACAACGTCAAAGAATGGTGGGGCGTGTTACAATTCCCCATGGTGACAAGATCACACAAAGATTTCTGCGCCCACAAGGGATCGGTAGACTCTTAGTGGGAGGAAGCAGAGGCTTCATGAGTAATGGGGGTGGGGGGTATGGGTCAGGATCCAGACCAGAGAGAGAAATCTCCTAGTAACTTGAACAGGGGAGGCTTAATGTAAAGAATTATTACCTATAACAGAGGGTTGGAGAAGGAGGGATGGTGAGTAAGAAGTAAAGAAAACTCTACAGAAGACAGGATTGGCAGACCAGGGAACAGCCATGACCCCAGGGCTGAGACCTGGACTGCACTGAGGAGGGCCCAGCAGGGCTTCCTGTGGCACAGATGCTGCCACAGTAACGCACTGTCAGGCCTTACCAGAACTCGGTCCTTACAGTACCAGAAAAAGCTGTTCTTAGTGAGATGTCTCATCAGAGGGCGTCCAGGTTTTGCACAGAAATCCCACCCAGTGGTTCTGGGGCAGCACTGACAGCTGCTGGTGCCATGAACTGAGGGAACTAGACACTTCCTCCTTCTGTTTCTCTCTGGCCCCCTCCACTGACGAAGCTGAACATCATGCCAACTGGCAAAGGAAACATATTTAAAAGAGTCACGTCCATTTTTACAGAACAGGCAAAAAGACTGAGTTAGGAGCCGAGAGGCAATACATGTATGGACATCACAGTTGGGTTTCACTGAATGTCAAGTTTGAAAGGGACGTAAAGGTCCTATCGAATCTCCAACCCTCAGGTCCCATTGAGTGGTTGCTAGGCTGTGAGACATCTGTGTCAAGGCAGCTAAGTACTGTCTGATGTGGTCCTTCTGCATGTGGGGGCAGCTTCTTCCATGGTTCTGGTTCTGGAGATAAGTATGTATGTCTGCCACCTGACAGTTCTTTAGATACACGAACGGGGACCTTCTGCTTTGCTTCTTTCCCACCTCTTCTGACTCCCGTGAACTGCACGACCTTACAGCCTCCCTGGCAGTCCGGAACCCTTCACTGTACCAGGCTCGGGCATGAGGGCACCTCCGTGTCTCTCCCCAAGACTGGGCAGTGTCTCCCCAAAACCTGTTCCAGGTGTGCACAGTGGAGCAGGACCGGGTCACTCCTAACTGCCCGTCTTGTTGGCCACAGCGGTCGACCTTGAGTCACTCCTGATCTATGTCAGCAATGGGACCTGTCAAGCTGGTGCTAGAAAGAGGAGTCTCTTCGCACCTGGAGATGAAGCAAAGGCGGTAAGGACCCGGGGAGCGGCCTTCCGGCCTGCTTCCCACCCAGAGGGAAGACGTCCAGGACGGAGAGAGGCGGGCCTGGGAAACCCAGAGGAAGTCCTGATGCCGTCAGCGTCCCTGGTTCCTGCCACCCGAGGCCGGCTCCTGGCCCTCCTCACCTTGGTTTGGTGAGTTAAGCCAACACAGTTCTCCCTTGTGCTTAAACTAGTTCAAGTTGGGTGTCTGGCGATTACCAACAAAGAACATCCTGACTTTAAAAGAAAAAAGAGGCAGAAGCATCATTGGCTCGTGTCTTTGGGGCAGGTTTTCTGTAGAAGCTAGCATAACTTTAAGTAGAAACTCTGGAAATGTATTGGTAATTTAAAAAAAAAAAAAAAATATATATATATATAGTTTGAAAGTGAGATCTTGCTCTACCCCATTTATTCCTTTTTCTTTCTGAACAGGAAAGAAGGAAGGAAGGAAGGAAAGAAGGAAGGAAGGAAGGGAGGGAGGGAGGGAGGGAGGGAGGGAGGGAGGGAGGGAGGAAGGGTCTCCCTTATTAATTTGAACTCAGATGTTTTTAAGCTCTTTAGAGGTCTTTCCCAACATAAGTGGAAATTAAAATATATAACTCTATTAGCATTTATAAAATCTGTCATCTTAAGCTCCATGTCCGCTGAAATAAATGTACAGGATATACTCAGATATTTCTTCTCTGTCTTCAAGTTTAGATCTTTCCCCGCTGACTCGGGCTGGGCGTTTGAAGCTAAAACCCGTACACTGAAGCTTGAGGACAGTGAAGTGACAATGCTGCAGCCCGTCGTCAGGTTCCAGGGAAACGGGGCTCAGGCGTGACCTGCGACCCTCGCGGCCCATCAGGCTTTGATACACTCTCGTGACAGCAGGTTCCTGGACTCGCTCAGAGATCAGAAAACGTTCTCTCTGTGTCAGACTTGACAATGGAGTGAAAGTCAAGAAAGCATCACTTCACCCAGAACTTTTATTCACGTTTCTTGTCCTCTTCTTAAAATGTACAGGCCAAAATGAAACACTGCAAACACAGAGAATAGCAAGTCATGGAAAGCATATCCATGTGCCACCAATGAGCTCTACCGAATGTGAACATTCTACCTAAAGGAACAAAAATATCCCGGAGATGGTGGAGATGCCTCTGCGTATCCCACTCGACCCCAGACCTCTCTCCCTTCAGAGGCAACAGCTGTCGTCAAGTTGGTGGGCAGCCTTTCTCGGGGCGTCGTAGGCTTTACGTGTAGTTCCACAAACAATGTGTTCTTTTGCTCGAGTGCTTTAAAGTTGTAAAAGGATGATCTTACTCTATGCGTCTATTCAACAACTTCTTTTGAGGTAAAATTGAAGAAAGAGCACCCATCTAAGTGTACAGTGTGATGAGATTTGATAAATATATACACCCACGGAGACCCTAGTCCAATCAAGATGCAGAACATTGTCATCATCCCAGTGAACCCCATTCTATAGACAACCATTATTTGATTTCTACCATGAAAGAGTAGTAGAATTGTTCTTAAATATTGCTAATTGCTACCATGCCTTTGTTGAATATCAATTGCCTGTACATGTATGAGTGTATTTTTGGACTCTTTTGTTCCCTCACTCTGTTTACCATGCCGATACCACACTAAATTGATTACCATGCTTTCACAGGAAGTCATGAAATCACAAAGTGTGAGTCCTCCAATATGCCTCCATTTCAAAATAGTTTTAGCTATTTTTCGGTCTTCTGAGTTTCTATAAAAATTTGAAAATTAACTTGCCAATTTCTACAAAAGAACCATCTAGAAGTTTGATTCGGGCTACATTAAATCTATGCATCGATTTGGGAACATGGACATAGCACCGATATTGCATCTCCCAATCCATACATGAGGCATGCCTTCCGTTTACTTAGGCCTTCCTTCATTTCTCTCAGGGCTATTTCTGTGGCGGTCTCATGTGCCTTTTGCTGAATTTATTCCTATGTATTTTACGAGTTTTGTTGTTACTTAATGAAATTTTAAAATTTTATTTTCTAATTGTTTATTGTTGATACAAATACAATGGCCTTTTGTATTTTGGCTTTGCATTCTGTGAGCTTTCTAAGATCACCAATTAGTTCTTAAAGTTGTTTTGTCGATTCACCAGGATTTTCTGCGTAAACAATCATGTTAACTGCTAATAAAAGTGGTTTTGCATCTCTCTTTCCAACCTACATGCCCGTATTTCTTTTTTTCTGCTTTGTTAGCACTAGTTAGGATGTCCGGGAAGATGGTGAGAGGAAGTGATAAAATGGAAATCCCTGCCTTGTTCTCGATCTTAGAAGTGTTCAGATTTCACCGTTAAGTAGAATGTTAGCTTTAAGGTTTCGGACACGTCCTGTATCAAATTGAGGAATGAAATAAAATGAGAATCATTCTGTTTTTAGATTGACATTTGTTAACACAAATTGATTTTGAATTTTTTTTCAAATACTTTATTTTCTTAGTTAGTAACTTTTGTTGATTTAAAAAAAAATGTTTTTTCCTTTGTTGACTTGAGAGAGAGAGGAAGGAAGAGGGGGAGAGAGAGAAACATCGATGAGAGAGAACATCGATTGGCCGCCTCCTGCATGCCCCCCACTGGGAATCGTGCCCACAACCTGGGCATGTGCCCTGACCGGGAATTGAACGGGCGACCTGTTGGTACATGGGTCAATGCTCAACCACTGAGCCACATCGCCGGACTTATGTTGATTTTTAAATGTTAAACCAGCCTTGCATTTCAAGGATAACTCCCACTTAGTCATGATATATATTGTATTTTATTTGCTTTTTAAAAATATTTTTATGTCTATATTCATGAGAGATCTTGGTCTGTAATATTTTTTTTTCCGCTCATGTTGGGTAATTTCCAGTTTGGCGTTCTTATAAATAGTCATGTAATAAACATTCTTGCATATTTTTGTGTGTGCACTATTACACCTTTAA